TTCTTTTTTACTTTTTTATTTTTAAGTAACATGGTTTCCACAAAAATATTAAGTAGCACAAATGTTTTGAACACTGAATATGTGTGTAGATAGATAGATAGATAGATAGATAGATAGATAGTCAGATAGTCAGACAGACAGATAGATAGATAAAGTCACAGTTTCCACAAAAATATTAAGCAGCATGACTGTTTTCACATTGAATATATTTAATATATAGTAGCATTACAAATAACAAACTTAACCCAATATGACTTGTATTTATGAGACTGAGGGCTTGTGATGTTCTTTATTTTGTAAGTCAAATGTCAGATGCCAGATGAATGAATGTAAATGTAAAGCCAACCTGGAGGTAGGTGATGGGCACCAGATCTAAAGCTTTGAGCTTCCTCATCTTCTCTTTGTCCTTTCGCAGGTCCGTCTTGCACCCTATCAAGACAATGGGGACGTCACGGCAGAAATGACGGACCTCTGGGTACCACTGTAGGGGAAGATGGGGAATTTTTTTTTTAAAACTGAACTTCTTCTTTTATATAAATACTTTTTCTGGTCTTCCTTAATGCCGTAATGGTGTACTGTATCTATCTTTAGGCCATGAATGAACAGTTTGCTGTGTCTTTATTTAAACAGGGCTCAACACATTCCTCTGAACTGACACGCCAGGAGGCTGCAAAGAAATACTGGTTGTTTTCAGAGGTGGTCCATCTGTAATCATCTACTGTTCAGGTCAAAGTGTATCAGCTCACAGTTGCTAACAAACAAAGTTAAAACAGACTTTCATACTCAACTGAAGGCAAATGATTTCACCTTTATCGTGACATTGTCGAACGACGTCGGATTGGTCACATCGTAGCAGATGAGAACAAGGTTTGCTTCTTGATACGACAGAGGCCTCAAGCGGTCATAGTCCTCTTGGCCTGTCAATAAACAGATTAGAAGGAAATGACGTCATTTTAAACACACTGATACCTGAAAACAGCGCTGCATTATGTGGACTGTTTCTAAACAAGTCATTGAAGCCGAGGAGGTGGAGACCTCTGACCATATACAGCATCTTCCTGTATGTCGTATTTTATGAACAAAGTATTTTGACGAAAAACCGAGATGTGGTAGAAAACCACATCCTGGCTTCAACATCCTGTTCCTGAGACGCACAGAAGGTCCGTGTAGCAGTGTTGGTCTGATAAGCAGCTTGATTACTAAAGATGCAGTTCAATTTAGACAAAAGAGACATTTCGAAGAATTTCTCATGGAGAAATTCAAGTTATATAGACATCAGGGGTTCACCGAGGTCAGTGACAGTAAATGACGATTAAATCAATACGAGAACATTCCAAATAAGGTATAAAATGTCTGATGATCACTGTGACAAATAAAAATAAAACTTCCTTTTTCTATGACAATATATTCACTGTAAAAATATATCCTAGTTCCTGAATGGAGAGTTCTGAAATGTTTGAACTATAAACAAACTAGAATATGACTAACTCAAATATCTAATTGAGGCTTCAAAACAACTATAACTCTTTTTTTCTGTAATAATATCTTTGTATATATATATATATATATATATATATACACATATAACTAAAAAAACTACTGTTTAAAAGTTTGGGGTCGGTAAGATTTTTTATCTTTTTGAAAAAAGTATTTTATGGTCACCAAGGCTGCATTTGTTTAATCTAAAAATACATTAAAAACAGAAATATTTTGAAATATTATTATGATTTAAAATCACAATTTTCTATTTGAATATATTTTAAAATGCAATTTATTCCTGTGATGCAAAGCTGAATTTTCAGCATCATTACTTCAGTGTCACATGATCAGATGTCAAATGTTAAAAACAGTAGGGATGCTGAATATTTTTTTCGTGGAAGCCATAATACTTTGTTTTCAGGATTTTTTTTGATGAATAGAAAGTTCAAAAGAACAGAATTTATTTGAAAAATAAATATTTTATAACATTATAAATGTCTTTTCTCTTTTGATCAATTTAATGCATCCTTGCTGAATAAATACTCGCTCAAAAAATAAATCACACCGACCCTAAACTTTTGAATAGTAGTGTAAATGATAATCAAAGTATTAAATTTAAATGGTTAATTAATTCAATTATTAAAATTTTTAAAAACATGCCGTATTCATCCACAAATGTAACAACTGCGTTACAAATTGAGTAGTGGCTTTTAGCATGTTGCACCACATCCGCAGACAGATTCTGGCCCAATAAGCCATTAAAAACTGGGGTGATACTTAGAATATGAATATTTCAAAATGGCTAACATGTCATTTATTTCACTGTAATACTCTGGAAGTAATTCATACAGTATGGTCTTAGATGTCAATGAATGAGGACAGAAATCTTGAAATCTTTTTTTTTTTTGTGCAAAATAATTCAAATTTATTTTTTTTTATTTAGATAATCATGCAATGATCAAAGTGTGTATGCGGCCTGACCTCAGGGATGACAGCTTAGAAAACTATTACTAATGGCTTCACACCCATTTCACTCAAGATTCCTGCCTAAATAGTTAATCAATGAAGCATATCACTGTAGAGAATGGGGTGTTTGGAATCTGAGGTGTGTGTGGCGTCTGTAGACACTTACCTGCTGTATCATAGAGATTCAGCTGAATGTCTTTCCCTCCATAGGATACAGTGGTGACATATTTGTCGAACACAGATGGAGCATATTTCTGTTGATTTTCAACATAAAATTAGACAAATACAGGCATACAATGGATGATGGTGCATAAAATTTCAGGTTTCTACAAGTCACATCTGAAGTACAATCAAGGCGTTGGCAGAAACCAAAATTGCTGTCTGGGAGTGGAAAAACTGGGTGAGGATGTTGTGCAAATTACTCTTGTACATTTTGCAATGTTTCCTTCTCTTAAAATATTTTTTTTCTGTAGCTATCTTCACAACTAAAGTAAATCTGGTTTACTTACACACGCGCACACAAAAAAAACTAAAGCAAATTTGTACTTTGCCAACCTAAAACCCCTCATCATCTAAAAGCTTACCTCTGGGAAATCTCCTTTGGCGTACACCATAAGCAGAGATGTTTTCCCACAACCCCCATCTCCGACGATCACAATTTTGAGAGAGTCAGTCTGAGTGCCATTGCCGGCTACAGTGCCGTTCTGTGTCATGTCCTTTCGCGGGCCTCACCGGCCAAGTCAGATCCTCCAACAGGTGCCCAAGTGCACAGAAGTGTCAGGTAAATTCATTGGTGAGAGTGGCGGGTGAGTATAACGTGAGACTAACACTCTGCCAGGTCAGCATGCTGCTATCCGGTCCCAACTTCCTCCTCCTCTCGCCTTTTTTTCATTTCAAACCATGTGACTATGTTTTCAAGAACCCCTGATCAGAGCGTGTGACTGTAATTGAGGCTGTGTGACTCTTTTCTATACCCGTCTACACATGGTCTGCACCATCACTAGGCGGGGTACATGAGGGCACTCCCTCCAGCCGGTCAGGAGAGTTGGCTTCCTAACTACATGTTCATTGAGACAGTCCTTTGAAAACTTTCTCACATTCTCCCATCTACAGAGGGTGGAGCGGGACAGGAGGTTGCTCTGAATGGTATGCTTAAGATGATATTACAAACAACATCATTGCAGTGATTATTTTAGCAATTTGTTGATAATTAAGTGAATTATGTAAGAGCGTATGTAAGACTTTGTTACTAATAACAATTACATAACTAAAAGTGTTATTAATTGTATTACCATTACACGTGTTAGGCTATTTTAGTATCCCTCACATGTTTTATATATTTTGATTATAGTTTTTATTTTTGTCTTGTGTTTTTGTTATTTTTAATTATTATTTTTAATATTCCTATGTAGTTTTTGTTCATATTTCAGTTTTTGGTTATTTTAGGCCATCAAGTCGAACCAAATGAAAATGTGAAATGTTGCCTCGCCAGCTGAAATTAAATAAAGTACATTTTTTATACTTTATATTACTTTAGTTAACGTTTACTATATTTCAAGTAACAACTATTTTTTTATGGTTTTAGTTTTAGTATATGTTAGCTATAATAAACCTGCCCATTACAAAATAAAATTATAAAACTAAATAAATGTGTATAAACTTGAATTCATGTGTACATATTTTACTATTTAATTTTACTCTTTAGGAGTTTTGTTATTAAAATTTTACTCTTTCATTTAAAATATGTTTGAATAATATGAAGTATTATGTCAAATGCAAAATGATTCAAATTCCCACTTTAAAAAGATTTGCATATATTATTTTGAGATAAACCTATATGAGACAATTTTGAATCATGTTTTAGTAGCACATAAGTAAAGTAACGTAAGTTTATGGGCCCTGAATGCTTATACTTTATTTGTTATATTTAAAAAAAAAATATGGTCCTGGATACCAAATGGTCAAAATAGCATTGCAGTTGTGCTAAAATGCACAATTCAGAAACAGCTATGATGCAATAAACACCTGATTGTGTGTGTGTGTGTGTGTTGTCATGATCAATTAATATGGTTTACAAATAAAGCTTAAAATTCATGTCTCTTTATTTCCTTCATATTTTATTGTTTAAATTGACTGTCTTAACTTTTTTTAAATTATAAATACAACAAGCACTATATAAATTAGCATACCAAGGACTGAATCTTCTAAAATGGCACTTAATCAGTCTGCACAGTGACATTTCAATGAAAATGGATTGTCTTTAATATAAAACAAATTATATGAGAAGCCATGTAGTACCAGCTAAGGCCGTCGTTTAGCAAAGCAAACCCTCGTTCGAGTATAACAACCCTTTGCTTCTTTTACCAATGGCCAATGGGTGTCAGTTATCGCATCCCTCACACCATCAACAGCCAATGAGAAACTCGAAAAGGGTTGTTTCGCTCCTCACAGTCACAGATAGGAGGCGTCGTATTACGACTGTCTCTGTCACAGAACTCTGAACATGTACTGGCTCCAAGCATGCCAACGGAGAGGAATTACTCACATTAATTATAAAAACCCACCATGGTCTCCTAAAATCATTTATATGGATTGTTACGGTACATAAAAAAAAGCATGGTTAAGCTATTAATGAAAGCGGCCTACAGCAGCAGCGATAACCGGATACGCCCGTTCCCCGCAACATGGGCCCGTTTGGTTCGGGTATAAATCACAGCGAAAATATAATAAAAATGTAGGCTAAATTACTCTTACAACAGAACGTCAGCTTCGTTTCGAGGAAACGGCTAATTAGGCGAAGAGTAGGGAAAAAAACTCAAATCTGTCAATAAATACAAGACGACATTAATGAATTTAAGAAGTTATATTTATTGCATATTAAAAATATTTAACATCTCTTTGTATATATACTTACCATATTGTTAAATACGTTACAATCCATCTTTATCTAAATAAGAAAAAAAAGCTAAAGTGAAATGTTACAAAAAAAAGAATTGTCCACGGTGAGAAATGCATTTGCGCGCCGTCGCCTGGATCTGTGGAGTGCTTCCTCAGATTTAATATGGAATATTAGATTGACGTTTTAAATAAAAAAGGAATATTAGATGGAATTTACACACGTTACGGTCATTAAAAACCTTTTGTAGGCTAATTTAGATTTCAGACGTCTCCTAGTCTTCACAAAAATGACATTAAAATATACAAAGTAGGCTATCACACATAAAAGAGTGCCTCAAGAATGAACTAAAAAGCTAGCATAGGTTATATGATTAATGGCGACGCTGAATGTCGAAATTTGTCGAGGATCCACTCCAGCTGTCCAGAGCACAAGTGAAGCTTTACGCACACGTCTGCATGTCGGGTAACACACAAAAAGACTGACTCAGAAGATGATAACACTGGTGTCGACTGAGATCTCTGCCCTTCTATCCTCGCGTTACAAACAGCTTGCGTTCGCAGGTTAGGAAGATCAAGAGGATTTTCCTAATTAAACACACGAGTGCCATAAAACGGCCTCATGACCCACTTCAGCCTTGTGCGGCAGCACGCGATGTGGTCACGTCTTCAGTCCTTTTTTCTGCAATATTCGGAGATCAGTCCTACTTTAGACTATGGCAGAGAGACAAACTCGTATTGATGTGCATGCAATAACAAGCGTGAATCCTAAAAGCGAGAGCCAGATGGCGCGTTTCCTTGCGCAATAGCTACCATTCTCTGGCTGATGGATTGAAACCGGCGTCGCACACACGAAGGGGAAAGTGAAAAAACCCCTACAAAATACAATGCTTGGGTTATAAATATGCCCGTTCTCTACACATTTTAGTGTTGTGGAATAAGCGACATATACACAATTACAAAGCCATAAATTGTGCAAAAACACGACAATCTGCATACCACATACCGGTATGTGTTGCAACAGTGTGATATATTCAGCAGAAGATCTGAGAACCCTAAGTAGTGCGCAATCCTGCATGCATCACGTCAAATGATCCTCTGAATGGCTGGCGAATAAACTGCACCGAATGTTCTCGAAAGGGGGACGAGAGAGAGCACAGAGGAGGACTGGATATTCCCTTTGTACTTGCTGATTGAAATGCCACACAGTGTTTGAGTCTTTCTCCGACCTTAAATGGTTAGGTGGGTGCAGCATATCTCAGACCCGTGGCAAGCGTCCAAACTCTCAGATTACTGCTGGGTGTTTTTGTGCCACAGGCGTTTCCAGCGCTTTGCGCAGCAGCGGCGTCGAGGGCGCGTTTTACGCACGAGATATTACTGCGAGTTTAGTGCAATATCCTCGCTTTACAAACGGCGAGCCCCTCTGACCACATCTAGTCAGTTAGTGTTTGCAATGATTGCCACGTACACAGGCAGAATCAGTTGAAAGAGCGACCGACAGCCTCGCCCATAAATGGCGCGGGCGGCAGCCTTTCTTCTCCACAATGATGTCCTTGTGAAGACGCCATGTTGAAAATGAGAACAACAGAGAAGCCATTAAACAACAGGCTCTTTCTGAGGTCGCTTTGGACATGGGTCAGCAATGAGAGGTGTCTATACATTTTTTTTTTTTTTACACCTTTATCTGTTTATTTTTTGACAATTCTAATAAATCCCAATAGGAAAAACAATACTTGTATTTTTAAAAATGAATTTGAATGATAAATATGATTTTATTATTACCTGTTAAAACAATGACAGAATATTCCCCAAGTCATTATCATCCAAAAAAAAAGTCGTTTGAACTATTACCTTCGGAAAGAAAAAGGATTTTTTTTCTGTCTTCTGAATGATGAAGAGCGAGTTAATCTCTCGCCATTCTGTCTTCAGGAAGAGAACGAGAGGGATTGTTTGCATATTTCAATATCTAAAAGTGCCTCAAGATTTCCAGCAGCTCCACTCGTTGGAGACTGCGCAGATAGGGGTGTTAAATGGTGAATTATGTCGAAAAACGACGGCAGAAAAATGGTTATTGTCGTTTTCTTCCTTTTAGGCGTTGCAACCCAACCCCCTCTTTAAAGCCAGTGTTAAAGGATCCGAAGATGGGAATGAAAACGTCCCTGTTTCTTCATCGTTTAGGCCTGATAGAATTATTTCAACAAAATGTTAAGGTAAATATCTCTGTTAGTGTTTTAATAATTATTTATGTTTAGAGTGATATTTATACTTTACCTCTAGCATGAACTGTACGCTGTGACACTAATAGTGTTATGAAATTACCAAAGTGTGCCCTTGGCGCAAGGTCAGATATACAGAGTGTTCACTTACTGAAAATGCCAATTGACAAAAGGGATTTCCATTCCATTGTAAAAATCAGGAATACACTATTCCCAATATAAACGTCATGAAAGAAAAGTGAATTCCACATTTCTTTAAACATCGTTTTACTTTTAAAAATGTGTTTTGATAATAGTACTGTAGGGTTTAAAACATAAATTAAGTCAGGCACAACCAGGATGAGCATTAAAACAACCACAAACCCCATCAATCATACCTGTGATTCAGCATTTTTGTAAAAGGCCAATCGTCCTTTTTCTCTATGGCCTGCCTTGTTTGCTGAAATATGAGAAGCAATCAATTTAAATATTTTAAAGATATTACAAAAAAAAAAAACAGCATGCAACTGAATGTTCTGAAGACAAAGCTTTGCTCAAAACTAATGACACTTGGGGAGCACTAAAAAGAAATTAAAAATTCAGCCAGTTTACATAAAATGCCTGTTTAATTAGCAATAAAACATTTATTCTGCAGCTAAATAAGCAAAGACAATAAAGATAAACTTACTTATTGATTAATGCTTGGCCCTGAACAAGGCAGGGCCTTAAAAGCAGTTGGTAATTTTCATGTGTTTTTCTCTCTCTCTCTCAATCTTTTTACAGTCTAGTTAGTAATAATATGCTTGGCCCTGAACAAGGCAGGGCCTTAAAAGCAGTTGGTAATTTTCATGTGTTTTTCTCTCTCTCTCTCTCAATCTTTTTACAGTCTAGTTAGTAATAATATAATCAAATGCAAAATGTTTATTCAGTAACATTTTACTAAAGAATCAAATGCTGTTATATGGGTGTGCCATGACCTAGTTTGCTGGGACAAAGATGGTTTCCAGGAAGAGAAGAAAAAAAAAGTTTAAAAATGTCAAAGGGATATCATCCAACATTTCATCTTCCTTCTTCTCAGATCCTGTAAACAGAAATACTGTATGTATTAAATAGTCCATAAAAGGCTGATGAAATCAAGATTTAGATCCCTTTAGGAACAAAGGAAACCCATTTTGGCCATTGAGTTCCAATGCAGGAGAAAATGGCCGCGCCTGCTTTCAGCCTTCTTTCTGCTCTCTGTAGGAAGAAGTGAAGGCTGTGCTTCTAATAGCTGAAGCTACCATGGTGCTTCACTCTGATTGGCCAGAGAGGGAACTGCTGTTAACCAGCCAATTGCCCAAGCACCGCAGAATATCAAACAATGTTGGGAATGGTGGAATTGAGAAATGTATCACAACTAGTATTAGTACAAAACATTAGATGTTTAAACATAAAAATCACCACTTTTATTTTTTTGTTTACATAAGGTGGACCCTCGTGAAAGTTCATTTTACTGACACACTCTGAATGCAAGACAACCAAAACAGATTAAACATTAAAACAGAAACGTAGAACGTTTCTAAACCAAATCATTTGGGTTTTCGGCGCGTGTCCCAGTTCAGTTTTAACAACCTTCCCCAGCGTTGCTCCTCCATGTCCATCTTGTATTTAACGTCCACGTAAATCTAACGCGCAGATTCAACGCGTTCGAAACGTTGGTTTTCTGCTCGAAATTCAAGATATGTTCACTTCCCACTCGTTTATCGCACATAACCAGACTTGTACGTGTTTTTGACGGTCACACAAAATTCTGCTTTAGCGTAACAATTAAAAACAATAAATCGAAAGTGCGTGTCGAATGTGCCGGAGGGTTGAGATAGTGATGTATTGTGGGAGAGACAGAAACCCCAGACTAGAGGCACACAATATGTGTTGGCTCGCAAAAAGGAGGCAGTATCTTTAAAATCATGTAATGTGATCGGCGAAAGGTTCAAGATCTAGCCGTTTTATATACAACTACTCGATCGGGCACAACATGTCCAGACCTGGAGAAAGAAATAAGCTAAATGAAGATCACGGGAGAAGACAGAGTTCAAGTAAGCTTTCTCTTTTTTTTCTTTTCTTCCTCTGTAATGTCTGTTTCGGGCACCGCTTCAAACCCCCCCATTTTCTACAACGTACTGTTTGTGTGCAAAAATCAACCGTTGCCATGTCAGGATTGTGAAGCGTACTTTCTGTTTTTGTCATCTCTTCGTTAGGTTTGGCGAACGGAATGGAGAACAGCCATCCTATCTGCAGTTCGGGAGAGAAACGAAGTCAACATTGGAGAAGTTACAAGTTGATTATTGACCCAGCGTTGAAAAATGGATCGCACAAAGTGTATCGCTACGATGGACAGAACTTCAGCGTGCCGGTGAGCGAAACGAGCCGTTACAGCGGATACATCGAGCCGTGTATTGAATGGATCTAACACCACGCGCGTTGTAAACACCTGACACAGCACATCAAAGAGTTTCACCGCTGCCAAACTTTCACGACTGACCACTCGTGTGAAAACTAAACTAGTGAGAGACGAGCTGTCGTTGTACCGCATCAGTTCTGGGGACAGTGACAAGCCCGGTTGTGTAAAGTACACTTCCTCGCGTAAAGTGTTTATAAATGTGCTTGTTTTGTTTGCAGAACCCCGGAATGCCACCCGTGGACATCGTCCGAGACCCGAGAATCGGTCGTCTGTGGACTAAGTACAAGGAGACGGATCTCCCGGTTCCTAAATTTAAGGTAGTTCAGTCACACCCCCTTGACACATGTGTGCATTTTTTATTTTTTAAGTATCCGACTGCAGGACGTTTGACGTTCACTCAACGCTTTTCTATACAGCTAACGTATTGCTTGCTTTTGAATTCAAAAACAAGTGATTTAACGTTCTGTTTTCAGCTATACTAGAGGCACGTGCAAACAGGGCAGCAGATAACGGTCGGTCCGTTTTGAAGTAACGTCAAACAAACGTTCTGTTTCAAAGAATCGTCTCGCTTTTCCTCAGATCGATGAGTGTTACATCGGTCGCGTGCCCCCGAAGGAGGTCACGTTCGCCAAGCTCAACGACAACGTCAGAGAGGGATTCCTCACCGACATGTGCAAGAAGTTCGGCGAAATCGAGGAGGTGGAAATACTGTACAATCCGAAGAACAAAAAACATCTCGGAATTGCTAAAGTTGTATTCGGGGCCGTCAAGGCGGCGAAGGACGCTGTCCAGAACTTGAACAACACGTCTGTCATGGGCAACATCATCCACGTGGAGTTGGACCCTAAAGGTAAGGATGAATTATGTGTTAAAATACTAAACTGGACATTTATAGCTTTAATGTTAAACGAGGAATGTCGTCTGACCGAGTTACACTAAAATACCGCATGTGTTTGTACATTTGAATAGATTGTTTGGGACATGAAGTCACGTGCGAAAATTTTCGTTGGTTGCTTGGTAACCATTCAACTACAAGTCTGCGGATGAGGGATTAACCGATGTGTTTGCTTTGACGTTTTAGCATTTTAACTATTAGGTAGATATTTAGCTATAGTTTAAAGCAAAATTGTTTAACCTCTAAAATATGTATGCAAGTATTGAGATGGAAAATGTATGTTTAAAAAAAAAAAGGAGGTGGTTAACCACGACTAAAGCGTAATTCTTGTACAAATTAAAATACTGGTAATGTTAAACCCTTAAGTTCGACTATTTATTGAAATACAAGCACACTAAACCGTCATTAACAGTTGTAAAAGTGAGATCCTCAAGGCAGGATGACAGCTGTAGTGGGTCTCCCCTCTCTTAAAGAGACAGTACCGTTTCATCTTTCTCGTCAGTGACTTGAACGCAAAGCGCATGCATTTCATGCATTATACTGTCATTTTCTTATTTGAGGTGTATATATAGATGATGTTTATGTATATAATATTTTATATATATATATATAGATGTTAAAATATGTTTCACAATTTTAACATACAAAATGTAAAATTTTACACTTGACTTGTTTTAGTAACTTTATTTTCATGTGAGATCACTTGCCAATAGTATTTGGCCAAAGCACATTTCTATTAATATTGACACTGAACTTATTTTTTTCTGTTATGTTTTTGTGACAAAAACATAATATAAACGACTCAATGAATCATCAATATCTGGGAAAATGACTTCTGGGAATATCTGGGGAAATTGTTATTGTCTTCTTGCATTATTGACACTATTTTCCTGTTTGACACTGTATAGCTGCTTTGACACAATCAGTATCGTATAAAGCGCTATACAAATAAAGGTGATTTGACAAATGGAAATGCAACAAATTGAAATGGAAAATTTATGTTGGACAATATAAGACCTTTCTTTCTTTTCTTTCTTAGATTGTAATGCAACAAATAGTTATAACATGAGTACTTCGCTTTGATGTAGTTTCATTAATCATGTTCACCGAAGAATTGTGTGTTCTCATCCATCTGTTCAGGTGAAAATCGCCTAAGGTACTTCCAGCGTCTGATCAATGGAAGTTATACTCCGCTCACTCTTCCAGTTGGTGGTGAAGAGGCCTGTGAAGTTTCTCCATGCAGCTTGGCTGAAGCCCTGCTGGTAAAAACTAAACCAAAGAACGAATCCGAACGCTTAAGATTGTACTACAAAACAGAAAGTTAAAGAAAGTTAAAGTTTTTACAGCTGCACGAAGAGAGCCATTATCAAAGTAGCTTTGGGCAGCTGGATTCATTTTATCAAATTGGTTTGTTCAGACTGGTTCTCAAACAATGAAATGATTCAGAACAAAAACAAAAGTTTATTTATTTATATATATTTGTTTACTACAAATGCTCATATTATGTATTTCTGAACATCATAGTTTATTACACCGTAGGACAAATTAATGATTTAAAATTTTAATTGATTTAAGATGAATTTAGTTTTTCCTCATCTGTTGAATAGAGGGAAACTCTGCACATAAGTTACTGTCATTTTTTTTTCTTCTTTTTTTGTATTTATTCAATAACTTGTGTGATTAATAATGTAATGTGGAGTATTGAGTTTTTTTTTATCATGACAAGTAAATGCATTTAAATGTCTGAATCTATTAGTTAACACATAATTTTAGTGCAAAAGTTATTTTACATCAGCACACTGTATAATATGCTCCCTCTCCAGCAGAAACCTCTTTATCTCTAATCCAGTTTATCGGTTCAGCAGGTGGTTAAATGGACACAGACTGAAATGCACATAATAACCGCTACCAGCAGAGAGCTGCACTTTATTACAACATGCACTTTGAACGGTCCCCCCTCAGTTATGGCCATTATCACACAGTGAAGCCGTTTGAAAACAGAGTGTCGTTAACTAATGTTTATACAATGTATTTGATTAGTATGTTGATTGTTAATGCCATTAGAAAAGGCCAAACAAGTGATTTTGTTTACAGAAAGTTTGCATTGTGATATTCGGAAATGTGTTTAAGTTGGTTGTGATTTTGTGTCCACAGCCCTTGCAAAGACTGTCCGAAGGCAGTTCTTCTGCAGTCGGAGGCACGGCCACACCGGGCGGCACCAACACGCCCATGTCCCTGGATACGGCCTACTCCAGCCTAAGGCAGGATACGCCCCAGTCCCAGGGTACCCCGCACACCCCGCGCCCATCAGGCACCCCGTTCTCTCAGGACTCCAGCTACTCCAGCAGGCAAGGCACTCCGGCGTTCCAGTCGAACCGTGCTGAATCCTCAGGAGGCTACAAGTCGAGACGGCATGAAACCAAATTCCAGGATGCCTACAACCGAAGACCGGAGAGGCATTATGTCCACGGCACAGGAGGAGGGGTGCATCGTGGTAACGCAGAGCAACCGCCCAGTTTTAAGCAACATCAGCCCCCGGAGCCGCCGTCACCTGCTTTTGCGCACACGCCTCCACCACCAGCCAGTGCGAATTTCAAGAATGCTTTCTCTCCTTATCAACCTCCAATTCCCCCAGTGTACCCTCACACAGAGCCCTCCTTCCACCAGCCTGTACAACGGGAAGTGGATTATAGGAGACCGCCTCAAGCCCCACCTCCACCGAGTACAGAGTTCATGCCCGTGATAGACAGGCCTGCAACGCCACCAATCCCCGAGCCGCCGCCCCCCGCACCAGAAACCCAACCAGCCACACCTCCCCCCTCCACACCGGAGCTCTGCCCATCGCTGGGCACCCCGACTCAGGACTCCGAGCGCAACAGCTTGGACTCGCGCATAGAAATGCTTCTGAAGCCCTTCCTGACTGAACGCGGAGACTCGGATGCTGAGGTGCGCATGGACGGGAGTCCGATTTCTTCATCGTCCTCTCAGCTCTCCCCCATTCCGCCCCAGCGGTCCTCGCGCCCTTCAAGCACCGGCCTGGAGGACATCAGCCCAACGCCACTTCCCGATTCGGATGATGACGAACCTATTCTTGGTACTGCTTCCCAGTTAGCAAACTCTAGGGCCACGTCGCCCTCCATGCACAATAAAAGCGGGGCAGGAGAACCACGGCCGCCCATTGACAAAATGGACACGGTAAGACCTGAGATATGATCTCTTTTTCCTGAACTTTACTGTCAAGTCACATTTGTTTATATAGTGGGCGATATGGCAAAAATATCATATCACGATTTTTTTTTTTTTTTTTAAATGTTGGCTTTACTATTTTGCAAGTTGTCTGAGCATTACAACCAAACTAAATTCCCCTATTATAAAGACAAAGCATTTCAAGGTAACAAAATATAAAACGGAATGGCGGATTTTTTGACTAAGGTGGGCGAAGATAAAAATCTTTCATTATTTTATCTGCTATTAAAAAATAAGAACAAAGATACACGTTACAAATACACAATATACAAATAAAACAGTGCTTTATTTTTAGGTAGAATATTCAGCAGGAGCATTCAAGAAGTTTAATGAACAAATATAAAATTAAACACTATATATATATATATATATATATATATATATATAATTTATATATA